GAACCCTAGGGGATTCTCGCAGTCAGACTTTACTCCTGCAGGAGGGGACTGGAGGCTGCTGAATGGGAGGGACCCTCAGGGCTGGACACAGCCCTCCCTTCCAAAGGTGCTGCTGGAACTTTCCACACTGTGTTCAGGCTGCTCCCCATCAGGGACGGACTAGCAGGTTTCTCTTTGGTTTATTGCTGCTGTGAAAGGAAGTGGCAGCTGGAAATACGGATGCAAGGACAGAGAGGACGTTTCAGAGGCCATGGCTTTTCTCTTCCTTCACCTGTGGCATGACTAACACAGCAGGGAGTTGGGCTGCACAGACCCCAGCATTCACAAGCACCTGAGCGATCAGCATCACCACAGAGGGGGAGGGCTGGCCCAAAAGCTGACCCCAGCCAGGAAAGGCCCAGAGAAAGAAAATCCACTTGAGTCCCTTGCGGCAGCTGGCTTTCTGGCAAGCTAGTGAACCTCTGAACCTTTGTTTTCTCATTTAACAGGGAGATGATATTCCACAGATAGGAGTGTCCTGCTCTTCCCACCCCAGTTACTGCATTTTTCATCTCTGTTCTTGCAAATGGAGCATCCTATAGCCCACCCAGGTCTCTCTACTTAGCCACGGGACTAGTCCTGACACCCTCTGCCCAGCAGCCTTCCCCTCATTCCTCCAACCTTCACTTTCTTTCTCTACAGACTCATTCTCAGTGATACTGTGCTCTGGCCTCTCCCAGCTCCAAAGACTCCACCATGTGCAAGAAAAACCTGGCAGCCCCACATCTTCCTCTAGTTGCCATCCTCTGGTCCACTTCCTGCACAGCATTACATAGTGGTCCACCCTCCTTCTCCAGGACTCATGCAGGCCTCCCCTTAAACACCAGCCCTGCTGGCCCAGGGATGGAGAATGGCCACCACTATCCCACCCCCATCCTTTCCCACCTTTCAATGCTTGTGTTTCATTGCTACAGGTACATGTCACCGTTTGCTCCACTAGGCACACACTCTAAGCCCTCCCTCTTCCTGCCCTGCCAAATAACTTTCAATTATTTCCCTCTATCTCTGCTGCCACCGACCGGGGTCAAGCTGTCACACACACTAGACTGGCCTTACCTGGTCTGCATGCTTCTTCTCTTATCCTTCTGTAGCAGTTTCCAGAGCTGCCAGTTTTCTTCAAAAAAGGAGAAATCAGGGAATGCCATTCCTGCCCTCCAAACCCTTCAGCGAGGGGCTGACGTTGCAGCACAGTGGGTTAAAGCCATTCCCTGAGATGTCGGCATCCCATTGGGCATCAGTTCAAGTCCTGGATGTTGCACTTCTGATCCAGCTTCCTGCAGATGTTGCTGGGGAAGCAGCAGAAGACAGCCGAAGTGCTTGGGCCCCTGCCATCCATGTGTGAGGCCTAGATGGAATTCCTGGCTTCTGGCTTCAATCTAGCCCAGCCAGAGCCATTGTGGCCATACGAAAGATCCGTCTCTCCCTTTCTCTGTTATTTCTTTCAAATGATAATTGAATAAATAAATAATCCTTTAATGATTTTCTTTTGAACCCTGGGTAAAAAAAAAGAGATTTGTGGCAATCCAGCTCTATTCCTCTACGTTCTTTCATTCCACGCTTTCCATTCCTTGTGATGTTTTAGGAACCTGCTCCCTGCCTGCCACCAAGGCTTTCTCAGCCAGTGCCTCTGTGCTTCCTCTATCTTCTCTTGGAGAACACTTTCCCCAAAGCATTGCAAGCCGTGTTCCTGCTCATCCATCAGTTTATTGCCCCTATGGTCACCTTCTCCAAGAGCCCCAGTGCATAAAAATGGGCAACAGCATCACAACTGCTCTCTTCAAAGCAGCCACGACCCTCTCAGATTGGCCACTTGTCTCCTGGTCTGCTGTCTGCCTCTCTCCACTAGAAACTTCTCCAAGGTCCTGCCGCGTGCACCTGACACACAGCCATGCCAGGCCCGAGCTGAGGGTGAACCAGTCCATTATCATCTACGGCTCATCACCCACCCCAGGCTTCCAAAGCAAACGAGGATGTGAGGAAAGAATACAACGCACGCCACACTACACAGTCACAACACCTGTTACCTCTAGACCTTCTGACTCCAGGAAATCCTAACGCAGCTAATAAGCTTGCAAATGGCTGTGACCCAGACTGACATTTTCCTAGCATTGAGTGACTTGCTTCTTCCAAGCTTTTGGTCCTTGGTGACCAGCATCAGATTTAATTTTTGACAAGTCACTGAACTGCACAGTGATATTATACTCTGTGAAGTTAAAGAGCGGACAGTTGTGAGGTGGGGATCAGGTGCTGGTGTTGTATGGCACAGCACGCTAAGTCACTGCCTGTAATGCTGGCATCCCACATGGGTGCCAGTTTGTGTCTCAGCTGTTTCACTTCAGACCCATCATCCTGTTAATTGGCCTGGAAAAACCAGTAGAGAACCTGGGCTCCTGCCGCCCAATGGGGACACCTGGATGAAGCTCCTGCTCCTGATTTTGACCTGACCCAGCCTTGGCTATTGCAGCCATCTGGGGAGTGAACCAAAGGATAAAAGATCTCTCTGTATCTCTCCCTTTCTTAATGCTGACTTTTAACATAAATAAACATATATTTTTTGAAATATAGAGTGAAGGTGTGTCCAGGGCATCCTGAGCTGGGGACCCCACTCAGCTCCAGGGGTGGCAGGGGCTGCTGCTGAATTTGCCTCCCCTACGTGGGCCTCCCAACCCAGACTCCACTGGGAATCAGCTCTCCCAGGCATTGGAGATAGAAGCTTAACACCTAGGGAGTCTGTATGAAGGCAGAGCTGCTTCATGGCCAGGCACACATTGCACAGTTTTATTTCTGTTCTGGTGAGATGGGGAACGATGCATTATGGGGGTTGGTTTGGCTTTGGGGGAGGAAGCACCATCAGACAGATGCACAGGGCTGTGCAGTGAGAAGCACCCGTGCATCAGGAGAATTAAGAATGAAGCCACCGGGCCCGGCGCGGTGGCGCAAGTGGTTAAAGGTCCTCGCCTAGCACGCCCGGGATCCCATATGGGTGCCGGTTCTAATCCCGGCAGCCCCGCTTCCCTTCCAGCTCCCAGTCTGTGGCCTGGGAAAGCAGTTGAGGACGGCCCAAAGCTTTGGGACCCTGCACCCACGTGGGAGACCCGGAAGAGGCTCCTGGCTTCGGATCGGCATAGTATCGGCCCGTTGCGCTCACTTGGGGAGTGAATCATCGGACAGAAGATCTTCCTCTCTGTCTCTCCTCTCTGTATATCCGCCTTTCCAATGAAAAAATAATAAAAATAAATCTTTAAAAAAAAAAACAAAAGAATGAAGCCACCGCCTCCTCACCAGCATCCCATGAGCACTGGTTTGAGTCCCAGCTGCTCTGCTTCTGAGCCAGCTCCCTGCTAATGTTCCTGAAAGGCAGCAGCAGATGGCCCGAGTACCTGGACCTCTGTCACAACAGGGCAGACCTGGATGGAGATGTTCATCAGTGAATGGATAAAGCAAAACAACAGTGGAAGATCATTTGGCCTTGAAAAGGAAATTCAGACACATGTTAAAACATGGAAAGAACCTTGAAGATATTGTGCTGAGTGAAATAAGTCAGTGACAAAAGGACAGATCCTGGAGCATCCCACTTACAGAAGGGTATCAAAAGAGCCAGAGGGATGACTGTGGTTGCCAGGGGCTGGAATGAGAACCTACTATTCTGCAAGATGAAGAATTTTGTAGATGAGAGCATGAGGAAGTGAATATACTTAATTCCACTGGATTGCCCACTTACAAATGGTTGCAATGGTAACTGGATGTGTATTATTTTACCATTAAAAAGAAAACCCAATACTTATGACCAACCTCTTTGCAAGGGGAACTTGGTTCAAAATTTCAAGTGTCATGGAGATCTACTAAGCCCTACATTTATTAGCCTTGTATTTGGTGCTAAGGGAGAAAGAGAAAGGTTATGCCTACACTCCAAACCTCACATTTCCATCAAGGGATGAGAGAAGAGCAGGGAAAAGCAGGTAAGACAAGGTTTTCCCAACAAAAGGGGCAGAATGGACAAAGAACCTTAAGGTGGCTCGGACGCTTATTCCCAGGGTTTGTGTCTTAGAAACATTGATTCTCTAAGTTGGTGGTATTTGGAGGAGGCAACTTTGGGAGGTGAATGGGTTGTGCGGGGCTCCACCTTCCCAGTCTGTCCCATCCACTCAAAGGTTCAGGGGTGACCAGAATCTCGAGGGAGTGAGGGAACATTCATGAGATGGGTACAAAAGCCAGGCTGGCTACCTCTCTGGAGTGCCCTCGCTGCACACTGCTCTGCTCTGCTCCAGGAACCTGCAGAGTCCCCTACCATATGCCAGCAATGCCTTGAGCATGGAGCTAAATCAATCTCTTATCTCCACAAATCTCTCACAGCCACAGCAACAGGATGTAACATCAGAGAAGTGCGCAGGGTGCGAGCTTCAAAGGAATGAGACGCACAGTCCCACACCACACACAGCATTTCAGGGAGGCAGGCAGGAGGCCCTCAACATGGCTATCTTGGAAGAAACCGTGGGTTGATGATAACTTATGGCAAAGGAAATCTTTAAAGTGGAAGAGAGTGGGAAAAAGACATATGGAAAGAAAAAAATGGTTGCTACAGACGAGACACCTCTAATAATAGCTCCACAGAAAGAGAATTACTATAATACAGGAAAATCCAGAATTCAGTCCACCAAAGCATTATGAATGATAGCCAACGTGTCTTGAGAGGAAGCTTCCCAATAAAAACAAGACCCATCTCAACCCTGCTGAGACTGTGTTCTCCACCACATGGGGCTGGCGGGCCGGTGGCCAGAGACATCTGGTGAAAGGCCTGGGGCATTGGCTCAGGGTTAGCTGAGTGACAGGTGAGAGTACCCAGGAAGGTCAGGTACAGTAGGGGAGGGAGAGAACGGGGGTATCTGACTCCAGGGCTGGTGTTACGCTTGCACTGTGCAAACACAGGCCTTTCCGGGTGCTATACCTTAGAGATCACTCACTTCAAATGCAGAAATATTTATTTTGGTTTCCTTCATTGTTTTTGGAAATTCTGTTTTGGTTTATAAAACATAGAAATAGCCAACACTTAAAGCAAACATTCAAAACCCCAGTGTGACAAATTATTGACTTTTTGTGCATTTAGGAATACGTATATGAAGTTAGGCTACCAAATAGTGTTATTACAATGACAATTCATGAGTGCAAACCCTGTTGTGCTTGTATAATACGTGTACTCTCACATATCCAAGACAACTGCTTTAAATGTATAAATCAAAGCTCAATGCAGTCAGACGTGGTAAAGACCTGCAATAAAATAAAACACTGTTAATTTCCCAAATTAACTTAAAAAAAATCCCTTGAGAAGTTAATCCCAGGAAATGATTTTTCCTTATTTCTACACCCTAAATTTTGGCTTGTCAAATACATTTCATAGAAATCAGGTAGCATTATGATATTCAAGAACATCTGCGTATTATTGTCCATTTCAAGTACCCAAGTATATCTAGTCCCTTAATATTTTTGAAGACATGCTTTGCCTGAGAGTTTATTTGGGGAGAAAAAAACAAACACAAAAACAAAAACAAAACAAAAGCAAGATAATCACAACATGATCGTTTGATATGAAAACCACATTAAAAATCTGTTGGCAGATACAAACAGAGAGAGTGGTTCAGTGAAGAGAAAGTGGACAGTTGTTTAGCTATCACAGCTGATCGTGGCAATCCAGGTCATTCATTCTTTCTTGAAATGCTTGTCTTCACTGTAGAGTCTAAGGCAGGTTTTTCGTTAGTCCCTGGGGAGAGCCGGAGGGAGGGAGGCGGGTCCAGGGAGCCGAGCCCGAGTGCATCGCGCTGCGGGTGAGTCAGCGAGTGGGTGAGTCGGTATCTGCGCTGCTGAGCCAGACGCCTTCTCCGGTCACTGAGAACCTTCAGAAATGACAGGGGACTTGGGACCCCTTACGAATCAGGAGGGCCATGTGAGTGCGTGGGGAATGGGGCTAGGAAGGGAAGGTGGCAGGGGATTTAAAGAAAAAACAAAACAGAAGCAAAAACCAAAAAACTTGTGGTCCTCTTGTGACACTCTCCAGCCAGGGCAGCTGTCCTCGCGTGTAAGGGGCCAGCGTCCCTCCAGTGCACTGTGGGCTTTGAGCAGCAGACAACTGCAGCGCGTGCAGTAAGTAGAGCAGACATCTCAGAAAGAGCAAAGTTCTAACCACACGGCTAGAAACACAGGGAGACACACGTGTGGACACCCACCTCTTTACATCGGAGCAAGTCTTAAATAACTTAGTACATTTAGAGTTTCCCCTTTCCAATTGTTAAGGCTCACTTTGGAAATTGTGTACCACCAGAAACATGGTCTGCAACACGAGGTGACTGTAAGGCAGTGTTCCGTTTCCGCTATTCCTATGACAAGAACCCAATGGACAGCCAAGCAGAATGCTTCCTTTCCCACTCTTGCTGTAGTCAAAATTACCATCATGAAGGCCAGCAGCAGGTGAGACCGGGACGCGAAGGGGTGGCATTCCTTTGGAGCTTTTCTCCTCTTCCTTACACCTTGATGGTGGAATAGAGTTCATCAATCTGGGACCTGAAGTAGTTCCGGAGCTCGGGCCTTTTTGCCTTCATTGTTGGAGTTAGAAGGCCATTTTCCACAGAAAATAATTCAGTGTGGAGAGCAATGCCTTTGATCTGCAAAGAAATGAGGCTGTGAAAAGCAGGAAGGGGGTACAACACCACCAACATCTGCAAAGCACTAAGCTCCTGCAGGGTTAAAGATCCTTCCAGGCAGCCAACCCACCCTCTCTGGCAAAGCTGCACAGCACAGGAGTCCTGCCCTGAGCAGAGCGTTTGGGATGGGGAAAAACAAAAACAAAAACAAACCAAAACCAAGAACTTGTGTCCTTGGGTAAAAATCCCTTCCTTCTCCCTGGGGTCAAGTGTTTGATGGTGAAGTTCCTACTTGGAACACCTGCATCCCATACTGCAGTGCCCAGTTCAAATCCCAGCTCTTCCACTTCCTATGCAGCTTCCTGCTAATGCCCACCCTGGGAGGCAGCCGTTGACAGCTGAAGTATTGGGGTCACTGTAGGACATGTGGCACACCCAGACTGAGTTCTGCGCTCCTGGCTTTGGCCCGCTGCTGCCCTGGCTGATGTGGGCATTTGCGGGTGAGCCAGTGGAAGGGATATTTCACGCTGTCTTTTGAATAAACTTAATATAAAAATTTAAACAAATGAAAAAACCCTTCCCTGATAAACCCATGCCATCATTCATTCCTCATCTATTTCTTTAAGTCATCCCATCTTTCTTTTATAATATCTTTGTGTCAAAACTCTTCAGGTCAAACATTTGTCTTAGAGTGTGGGTGTGTGGGCGAAAGTCACACCTGTTCGAACGTCTTCAGCCCAGCCTCCTTGCCAAGTCTCACCATGTCTTCCAGGATAGCTTTCTTGACATCCTAAGAAAGGAGAGAAAGATGGTACTTCCTGTGTTGGGGAGCCCTCCGTGGCCATGGGAACACAGAACAGAGGTGAAGACGTGACGCTGAGCGCTCCCTCCAGGCCTCACCTTATTTCTGCACAACTCCTCAGTAGAGCCTTCAAATCCTTTCTTTCGCGCCCAGGGACGCAACGTCTCCACATCTGGCACCACAATTGCTATGAGAAATGCCTGGAACCCAGACAAGTGAGTCACCACAGGGGTTGGGCTCAACGGCTCCTAGACCTCCTAGACGGCAGTTCTTGATTCCTCTACAGCAGGCTCCCTGGCAGGGCCACCCCCGCCCGCCTTCCTGGGGGAGTTCACTGAGGGCACGGGGAGAGATGCTGGCACTACAGGATAAATCCTGTCAGGAATTTTGAAATTGATGTTTTCAGAGACTCATGGAAACCCTCATTTTAATTTAAATACATTTTTAAAAACTTTCAAAAGAGTGATACAGGAGGCAAATTCTGTCATATCAAAAATACTGTAAAAGTCAACGAGGCTTGATAGATTTGGAAACTTTAGACTTTCTTAAAACCCAGACAATTTTTTTCCGTCCTAGTTGAATTGGAAACATGCACTACCTCCTCCCATCCCCCCACCCCAAGTATCTTTATTTAACTTCCTTGTTACATGGGACTACCCTAGGTATGATGAAAGCGTGGAAGCTTTCATCTGGATAGGAGATGCCAAGCGGCGAGACCCACCAGCAGTGTGTCAAGAATACCTAAGTGTGTCAGAAGTCTGTGTTGATTTATACTCACATCAAACTAGCAATGCCACCCAGAGCGCTGCAGCTCCAGGCACTGACATAGCCCCCAGAGCACCTACCTGCAAGCTTTCTCCGTGCACAAACACCTGAGCGACAGGCTCACTCCGCAGGTAGATATTTTCGATTTTTTCCGGGGCAATGTACTCTCCCTGGGCTAGCTTAAATATGTGCTTTTTCCTATCGATGATCTTCAGGGTGCCGTTCTGTTTGGCAGAGGGAAGGAGAGCTGTGAGTGGGGGCGTGGCTGTCGCCCACTAACATCCATTATTACACAGTACTGACAGGTACTGGAGTGTAATCCTAACAACCCCTTGAAAAAAGCTTGTTATTATCTCAGTTTACAGAAGAGGAAACGAAGGCTTAGCGCAATGAAATCACCCCCTGAGGCAGTCAGAGACAGAGAAAGATTTCCAAACCCAGGCTCATTTCCCACTGGGTGCCAGTGGCTTGTTGGCCACTGATCTGACTGACTGCCTCACTTGCTTTATTCTGCCCTCCCATTAGAATTAGGTACATGTGTATCTGGCCATCAGGTGAGGCAGGTTCCTTCAGAGTGGGGACACACACTGCCTTCCGCTGTGCTCTCAGGCACAGCACCTGCACAGGGTCTGTGTGGGCATTCCTTCATTCTCCTTGCTCCTGGCTGAGTGGAGGGTGCACTTCTGGCTGGCCTCTTGTTTGGCTGAGTCGCCAAAGGACTGTAGGAATAGCTCACTAGCATCCCTCGGCCACAATGGTCAGCGGCCAGTGGTGCCCACCTCCAGGAAACAAAACCCCAATGCTGCCTCCTGGAGGGCACATGTATGTCTGCAAAATGCATCCTTGGGAAGCTTACAGACCTCTCTCATTCCACATTTTCCAAAGGGGTAAGCAGAGAGCCAGAAAAATTAGGTGATGCTTCCATTAGAGCAAGAGCGGGAGGCAAAATTGACACTGGGCCCTGTTCAAGTCAAAGAGGGACTGACGTTATTTCTTAATTGTCAGGTACTGTGACAAGTGGATGAATTTTGAGGGGACATTCAATACAAATTCCAGAGTATTGAGCATTTTAAGTCTATGTAAGTTTGACAACATACAATGATAAAAGAAATTCCAATAGCCATTTTAGTGCTTACAATATTAATAACTTCAAAAAAGCAGTGGTTGTTCCCACAGCTGGCAAACCTGAACAGGTCAGGCGATGGCCCTTTTGGAAGCCTCAGTACTAAAACCACACTGGAACCAGAACCATTGCTAAGCACCCAACCCAAACATAGGGATTGCAGTTGCAGGAAAACCTTGAACAAGCATGCTGGGAGCATCACACTGCCTCCAGTGGGAGCCTCTGGCTCACGGCAGGTTGTGCTGCACGCAAGAAATTATCTACAGCCAAACCAAATGTATGCGCACAGGGGCAGTAAGAACTTACTGGCAACCATTTTCCAATGTCCCCCGTGTGTAACCAACCATCTTTATCCAAAGCTTCTGCTGTTTTCGCCGGGTCTTTTAAGTAGCCCTGAAATACATTTGGCCCTTTCACACACACCTAAAACAAAACAAACAACAGATGACCTGTTAACAATGACTGAATCTCTCTGAAGAAATCTGTGTGTGTGTGTGTACACATATGCACATATGTGTAAATTGGATGCTACGCTTTGATGAGAAGCCCAGAATTCCAACAACCAGAGGGAGCTGCCCTTGACATCTGGGAGTGGTCCTCAATGCCCTGTTTCCCATTTTCACTAGCTTCAGCTGCAGATAAACTGCAGGCAAACTAGGTCTGACACCTAGTCCTGGCTCTGCTCACTGCAGCCAGGAAGCTCTGGGGTAGGGGGTGCTGACACCTCTGTGACCTCACTGGGCTTCCCCCCAGCAGCCAGTGGCTCACTAACAGGGGTGGGGCAATGAGCAGACAGAACATGTGCCCTGAGGACCTACTGCAACACGTCCTATTCCAAATCCCACCTGTGTAGGGCAGAAGGTGAGAATGAGAGGCAGTTGTTAGCACTCTTCTTTCCACCCTGGGGAGAGTTCAGCAGAAATGTGTCCTCAGTGCAGGGAAGCCCATGTGACCCCCCAGCTTGCCCCTGCAGTTGAGCTCAGGGGCCTTACTGAGGTGTGCTGGGATGGCACTGCTGCTCTAATGGCCAGCAAGTGCGGGCAATGACCGAGGACGCCCACTCACCTCGCCCTCACCCTCGGAAGCCAGGTAGTTCATTTCTTCCACATCAACAAGCTTGATAAAGTTGCAAGGCATTGGGGCACCCACGTGGCCTGTGTATTGAAGGAGAGAGCAATCATGCCCAAGGGGCCTGCCAACACCCCTGGACAGTTACTCAATACCGACAGCTCTGTGGAACTGTACCTCGGGGAAACGCCTGGCCTATGTACTTACAGATGTTCTTTCTGGTAGAACAACTTAACTGAGCTTACTTCCAGGATAGAAATGGAAACATCAAAAAGGGCTCTTGGGAGCTTTTCCACGTTTGATGCACTCAAGTATTTTTCAGATTTTAGGTAACTTGGCTGCTAAATGTGAGGGCTACTAAAAATACCTGGAAGCAAACCTTCCAGAGCTTTCCATGGGCTCCCCGATTTGATTCCCTTACCCATACCTTATCCCTCTCCCACACAGACTATATGCTCCTGTTTGCTTTAAGGAGGCCACAATGGATGCCATTTCGGGGAACCTCATCACTCGCACACACACACCACCTGGATCTGATCCCATACAGCCTTCATTCCCTTAAATACAGACTAGCGTGTTTTCTATCGCAGTTCAGTAAGAGGATACAGCTTGTTTGCACAGCTACCTTAAGTGTCCTGCCAATGAGTGTTAGGACTAACTTGTCTTTTCCCAAAAGCCAAAGTAACAGACACCAGACATGTCTGCAGAGTGTCATGTGGACTGGCCTTGTGGTACAGTGGGTTAAGCACTGTTTGCTACACTGGCATCCCATACTGAAGCACTGGTGTGAGCTCCTGTTGTTTGCTTCTGAGCCAGCTTCCTGCTAACGTTCCTGGGAAAGCAACGGAAGATGGTCCAAGTACCGGGGCCCCTGCACTTGTGTGGGAGTCCCAGATGAGTTCCAGGCTCCTGGCCTTGTCCCAGCCTAGCCCTGACTCGTGTGGCTATTCGGAGAATGAATCAGCAGTGGGAAGATCTTGTGCTCTTTCTTTTTCTCACTCTGCCTTATAAATAAATAAGAAACTCTTTTTTAAAAAATGTCACAGATAATTATGGCGGTGTTTTAGTTTTAGCTTATAAAGATCTTGATTCCAAATTCTCTGTAAGAAGCCTGGCTTAAAAATTAAACACTATGAAGAAGACATATAGCCTGCCAGTCTCAACTTCAGCAGGTTTTGATATGAGATGTGCTAGGTCTGAGGCCAGCACTGTGGCCCGGCAGGTAAAGTCACTGCCTATAATGCTCGAATCCCATTTGGGTTCTGGTTCATGTCCCAGCTATTCCACTAAAGAGCTAGGTCCCTGTTAGTAGCCCGAGAAAGCAGCAAAAGATGGTCGAGGTGCATAGGATCCTGCCACCCAGGTGGGAGGCCCACATGAAGCTCCTGGATCATGGCTTCAGCCTGCCCTTGCCCCAGCCATTTCAGCCTTCTGGGGGAGTGAACTAGTAGATGGAGCTGACTTGCAAATAAATATTTGTGAAAAAGAAAAAGATTTAAAAGATTTAAAGATGTTTTAGACCCTGTCATTTGTGTTCCTACATGGTGATTGTGTTCATAGGGTACCAAATAAGTCAGGGGCATGTCCTTATCAGCACAGCACAGGCAGGCATGGCAGCTGGGTGGCAGAAGCGGGCCGGACTCCCCGCTCTGAGGCAGAAGGCCGCTGGGACCGTGCATGGTCTCCCGTGCTATGTAGCCACACTGTGATCTCCTCTCAGATCCCAGGGAGGCCACAGGGATGTTGCGGGACATCACTCACTTAACACGCACCAAAGTGCCCACCACAGAAACTTGTTCACGACAGGTCTACCCTCCTGCTTGTCATTTGAGAAAAAGGGTCTTGTGGTTCTGACACACAGCATTGTATCCTGCAGAAACTTAATAACTGTATGTGGGTCAAAGCCACCACTGCTGATGAGGTACTCATCAATCACCGGCAAGCTCTGCAGACCTCCACCCTGCCCTGCCTCAGGGTATCTTCCCCCAGCTCCCTGAGTTACAAGAGTGTCTCTCCAGAGACCTATTGAGGACATAGCACTTGTTCAATTCATTTAATAAGCCAGTCAGTGATGGCTCCACTCTCAACTATTCCAATATCCCATTAGAACACTCCACCCAAGGCCTGCCCCCATCCTACCTGCTGTCCAGTCTCCAGGCATGCTCAGGCAGCACCCTGCAGTACACTCGGTCTGTCCATAACCTTCATAAAACTGGTCCAAGAGATGGAAGATTACTAAGCAGGCAACAGACACGCCTTTACCAAAAGTGTTCAAGTCATTAAGTTCCAAGACAAGTGCACAAAGTCAAGAGTAGGGAGAACAGGGGAGGCGCTGGTCACAGCACACAGCCTTGGAATAGGAGAAATTCAAGCAAGCTGTCATGCCACAGGGTGACTATGAAAGCTGCTCGAAAGTAGATTACAGCTGCTACTACTACTACCACCAAAGAACGGTACGTGTGAGCTAATGCACATGCTAAGTAGCCTGAGCACACATACAGTTAAGACAGCATGATGGTGCTCATGACTCCACAGGATTCATATTTGTTAGAGAAAAAGACGCACCAGGTGAATGAAAATGACTTGGTAAAGCAGTAGAGAGAGTACAGCACAGCCAAGGGTTGCTGAGGCATCCTGGCACCTGCCTCAGAGCCTCACCTGACAGCCGAGGGCCGCTCTCAGGAACGTCAGCACAGTGGCAGACACAGGCGCCGCTCCTGTGACCATCAGCCGCACCTTCCCGCCCAGGCTGGCCTGAGAGAGGGGCACAAAGTTAGCATTCTTCATCTGTAAGTCGGACGAGGGGCGGTGTCTGTGTGGGGACCCCTGTGCTCCTCTGTCGGCTGCAGGGGTTCCAGAGAGCATGATGTTTCCTCCCAAAACTACCCCAGAGCCCCCGGGGGAGAGGAAGGGAACCGGGGGGTGGGGCTGGCCAGCACCACTGCTTACAGGTATTTTGGGGGAATCACAACCTGGGTACACTGGATGGGTGGCAACTTAAACCCCTCTCAGCATTCGGGAGGGGGCACTAAAACCCGGGTGGGTTTGCCCAAGAAACCAGGATGGCATGCTACCTGTATCTTGTGGAAGATGAGTTTATCCCAGAGGCTATTGTTCCTAATGATGCCACTGCGGAGCTCGGCCTCCTTCCTCTTGGATGCGAAGTCCAGCAGCCACCGTTTCAGGGCGGTGTTTGCTTGTCCAAAGATCTAACAAAGCCATAGAGAAGAAAGGTTTCACCCCTCTTAGGATGGCCAGACCAGAAAGGCAGAAAATGCCAAGGGCTGGAGAGGCATAAGAAAGCTGGGGCCCTTGCCCATGGTGGGCAGTATGTCCTCAGGTGCAGCGCTGTGGAGAACAGCCTATTGCTCTTTGCACAGCAGAAACACAGCAAATCCTCCTGGCCACATAGCCAGGAAGGAAGCAGGACATATGTGTGGTCTTCAAAATGCTCATGGGAAAATCATACAGGAGAACTATGCCTATTTATTTATTTATTTTTGCACTGAAGTAAACATGTCTTTTAATTCCATTTCAAATGAGTCCTTTTGAAGTTCTATCTGATGTCCACTGGGTGGAAACTTTCACCTAGACGTTCCTGACAGCCAAAAGCTGGAAACCACAAGATGCCCGTGCATGAAGCAATGGACAAATAAAATGGGTTCTAGCCACACCACGGAATATTACTTGACCATTAAAAGGCACAAAGACTGATACATTCGACATGGGTGAACCCTGAAAACATGTTAATGAAAGAGGCCAGTGGCAAAGAACATATCATTACCCGACTCCAGTCATACCAAAGTCCAGAAGCGAGAAATTTACAACTGACTGATTGGGGAGGAAGATCAAAGTGAAAGCAAAGGGCTCAGCACTGTGGTGAGGAAGGTAAAGCCACCACCTGCAGTGCTGGCTTCCCACATGGGTGCCAGTGTGCCCCTGCTGCTCTACTTCTGATCCAGCTCCTGCTAATGCACCTGGGAAAGCAGTGGGGATGGTCTAAACGCTTAGGTCCTTGTCCACATGTGAGAGATCTGGAAGAAGCTATGGCTTGTGGCTTTGGCCTGGCCCAGCCTCAGCCATTTTGGCCACTTAGGCAGTGAACCAGCAGATGGAAGATCTCTCTGTCTCTCTCTCCCTCTCTAACTCTGCCTTTCCAATAACTACAATAAATCTTAGGAAAAAAACTGCAAAAGCCTAAAGCAGGTAAGAGATTTCTTTTTGAGGTGATGAAAACATTCTAAAGCTGTGATAATGATGGCAGAACACTGGGGAAAGACTGAAAATTTTTGAATTGTAGACTTTAAATAGATGAACTGTACAATATTACATTCACATTTCCCTGTAGGTGGCAGGCATCCAGTTTTTTTGTTTCTATATTTTCTTGAAAGGCAGAGTAAAAGAAACAGGCAGAAAGACAGAAGGACAGAAGAGGGAAAGATTTTTCATCTACTGGATCATTATTTTGTAAATAGCGGTGGCAGGTCAGTCTGAAGCCAGGAGCCATGTGCTCTGGGTCTCTCAGGTAGCTGTAGGGGTCCAGGCACTCAGCCTGTCTTCTGTGGCTTTCCAGGGAACATCAGTAGGGAGCTGGAAGCAGAGAAGCCAGCACTGGAACTGATACGCTCATATGGGATCCAGTGTTGCACCTTAACTCACAACGCCACAACACTGCCCATGGCAGGGACCTAATTTCTAAGCCATTAGCACTGTCTCCCAGGGCATGCATTAGGAGGAAGCTAGAGTCAGGAGGGACAGCCAGAACCAAACCTAGGCACTTAACTGCCACATTAAATACTTGCTGCTAAATTAGTAAATGAAGCTCCTCAAGTTTTCTTGAAGGGAACAGCACAACTGGCCTAGCAGTTGGCACTATTTGGAACGCCCGCTCCTATGTCAGAACGTCAGGGCTTGAGTCCTGGCTCCGTCCTGCCTCCAGCTTCCTGTCTCTTGCCAGCTGCTAATCTGACCAAGGCCAGCTGATGGACTGGTGTTCTCACGGGCTCCAACTTAGCTTAGTAGCTTCCCTCCAAAATATGCACGTGGAGCTTTGTAATTAGGGAAGCTGTTCCATAGCTATTCCCTTTATTTGGTCCAATTAGCAAGTTTATGAGTTGGATGGCAGGGCAAGAGAGGTAGGTTTTATAGGTGAGAAAGCAGAGGCTCCAGGCGTCTACTGTAAAAATGAAGTGACCTCTTGCCTGGCAGCTCTGTGTGCCTCCTGAGGGGGTATCCTTGTGTGTTTCCTCCTGCTGTCCTCTCCAACAAGCCTGAAAGGCACACACCATCCTGTACCCTGACGACTACACTGAAGAGGAAGGAGACTGCACGTGGCCACACGGATGGCGCATGGCTGAGCCCCACTCACACTAGAGGCTCCCGCTCAGAGTCCAGCACTCTGTCAGCTGCATTTTGCTGCTTCGGACTTACTCGGTCGAACATCCGGTTCAGCAGTCTTGGCACCACAGGAAAGATAGTGGGTTGGAGCACCTTGAGGTCGTCCATGAGCAGCCTGATGTCTCCTTGGAAAAATCCTATTTTGGCTCCATGACACAGCATTACACACTACCGAGGCACACAGAAAGCACAGATATTTTACCCCTGCCCTGCGGGGGTAGAGTCCCACAATAACACCCGAGACCTCAGCGTTGGCCTTTTAGGCCAGTTTCCACAAATCTTAAAGTTTCCAAATAGAAGCAGATAAATAAATAAAAGAAAGCAATGTTTCTGCATCTCCTGGTCATCGTTCAATTCGTCACTGTGTTGCTTTCTGATTGTCCTGAAGAAGCAGGAGTCTGTATGAAGCTAGGGTTACTCTTGTCAGGGATGACCAGAGATACTCATTTAGCTTCATGGTAAGTATCTGTGGAATGAGTTATGTGATATTATTGCACATCTCAGTTACTTTCAGCCTCCAGAAACTTCTCAAAATAAAATCTTAACAAATGATTCCAGTCCAGATTGATTAAATCTCATTCATGGACTTGAATCTAAACAAAAACCTTCTGAAAAGACATTGCATATGCTGACGTTGAGAGACCAGACTTCCTACCCACGCGGCTTGCCATCCAGCCACAATGCCCTGTGTGGTGTTCTTCCCTGTGTAGTGCAAAGTGCCCTGGCAAGCCACATGCACTTGGTCATCTGCTTATTTGTAACTTAAAAAAGAAAAACAAACTCAAAGACGGTGTGCCAGAAGTACAAACAGCCTCAGATTTGAAAGCAGAACCCACAAAAAAGGTGAACTACAGTTCTCTCTTTAAAAATTAAAGCTCAGGAGGTCTTTGTGGGTTGGAGTCCACCTTGCAGGCACACTTCTACAACTCCAGTTAGGTACATATGGTCCATTACCAGCTTGCCTGAGCTCACTTTGCACACACAAATCTTGACGGGCAGGAAGTACAGTTAAAGATGGAAGGTGGTATCTAGTGGCGCCCGGCCAATTGCTTTTCGACCTTCTAGCTAAGGTCAAGTGTAATGACATTTGACCTGTCAGGCTTTCCGTTAGTGCCTGTCTCTGGCACCGACTACAGTGCCTGGCACACAGCTGGTGGTCAACAAGTCACTGTGGCTGACTGTTGTTCCCATAGTATAAATGCTACATTTCCCAGAAAGGCAAAATGGATTTTGTTGACTTTTAGACTGGCCACATGGCTACATGTAATGTAGATCAAGGCCAGAGGAAGATGATTCTGCTTTCCTATGGGCACAACCAGTCTAAGCCAACCTACACACTGTGAGCATGTATAGTCAAAGAAAGGTGCTACAAAGCTTTATGGGAATTAATTCACCAAACCTTACTTTTCTAATTCACCATTCTGGAATCATGATCATACTAGCATTCTTCAAAAGCTGATGCTTCTAATTGTTAAAATGGATAGTTAAAGTTTAAATATCTGGTTCAGACCCAGGAAAATAAACTATTCCGAATCAAATAATTTGCACCTCTTCCAGAGTGGGCCTGAGTCAAGGGTCCACTGTGAGGGTGCAAGTCCACACGTCACACTTACCTGCATGAGCTGTTCATACATGTGTGCCAGTGGTAAAAACGAAATGTGTGTGTCACTGGCATTCAAGGCAAGTACTTTCTGCAAAACACAACGACTTAGCACAATACAAACAAGCAAGCAGGTCAAACAAAACTGAATGCCTACCTCTACAACTCTTTCAAACATATGGGCGAGAGGCAAGAAAGATATCAAAATATCATCTGGGCAAGGATTGATTGCAGTCTGTAAGCAAAGACACCAGCAAGACAGAAAAGCATTAAGATTTCCAGTAATTTCCCACTTTATTTTAAAGCACATAGTACCTCAACACTAAGGAGGAACAGCTTTTGCTTAGGATCATCAAATGAAGAGAGGACCAACACTTTCAGCTGCTGCAATGCAGTGGTGTTATCCTCAGTGACTGACTTCACTTCAGGACTTTCACCATAACAGGGACTATTCTGCCCAAATTGGGATGTTAAGGGATTATGTGCTCAAATCATTTAACTTTTCAGGGTTTTAGTACACCACTAACTCAGCAGGTTCAATTCCACTTTAAGGTAAGTTAAGGTTCTCTCCAACATAAGACGGCATATTATGTTGCAGAGGGAGTAGTTAGTCAAGGGAAAATGGATTTTCAAGGTCCTTTTATTTACAGTGTCTATGTAGCTAGAACATGCATTTGATCAACATTTCTACCTTAACGTCTTTTGCTGTCATACCAAATTAAAAAAAAGGGTGCTGTCAAATTCCCAGGGAGGCAGCGCACCCCCTCTGAAGTGTTCCCTGCTCCTCCCCCAGCTGCCTCATTCTTAAAGATCCCACTTCCAGAGGGCAGACTCCACACAGCCCCGGAGTGCTGGAGGGAGGCTGGACAAACCACAGGCTTAGCTGAAAGCTATTTCAGTGTGGCCTGCGTCCCAACTGGTGTTTCTCAGTATGAAACTGCTACGTAATCTGAAAGCAGACCCAGGAATAGTGATGTTTTCCAATTCTGTGATGTAGCATGAAAAGAATGGCTACTTTCTTGACCACAAGTTCTACAATGCTGTAAATGCTCCTTGATATAACTGTTTTTAAATAAAGCCCTGTACTCTTTTGTCTTAATAAAATTTATAAAATGCCAAAGCATTGTAACTTGTTTTCAAGGCCAAAGAAGTGATTAAATTTCACTCTGTTAAGGTACCAAATGTTGAACTGCTGAAGCTTACATAAAGTATTTGGGACTAAGAGTGTGAAAAGTGGCGAGAGCCTTCAAAGTCCATCTTTCTGCAGGAACCAAAGATTAAACATGCTGATTTCCCAAAACAATTAAGCACAGGCTCCACCACAAGCGGTTTTAAGGCTACAGAATGCTCCCAAGAAACTGCAAAAGCAAATGATGTGAAATGAGAACACAGGAAAGGCACTTTATTGTTCCCCAAGGTCCCTCTAAAAGGCAAGTTAGGAATATATAACTTTAGCCCCGAGAACTGCATCCCTCCCCTCAGCTCTTAGGTTGAAGGCCTAATCCCCTACCCCCCAATCTATCTGGAGATGAGGCTCTGAGGTGCCTGTTTTGTGGGGGCCCAGACCCACCCCATAGGGCTGGGACACCAACTCATCCTGTATGTGCACAGGGAGAAGGCAGCTATCTGTAAGCCAGGAAGCGGACCCTCTCCTGACCCCAGATTTGTTGGCTTTGGACCTTGGACTTCTAACCTCCAGAACTGTGAAAAAATAAGTGGCTGCCACTTAAGCCTCCTGGTCTGTGGCACTTCATTAGGGCAGCCTGAGCAGAAGTGTGAGGCCCTCCCTTAATCTTGCGCATGGTAAGGGAAGTCAAATTGGCCATAATAAATAGTAATCATGCAAAACCCTCCAATACTTCATTGTCAATATATCAGACATCTCCTAACACAGGGATTGTATAAGAATCCCAAGAGAGTCATCTCTCTCTCTCGTCCTTTCCTGGAAATACTTTTATAGCAGCATTAAATGCAGTTTCACTATCTCATACTTGCAGGGAGTTCCATCTGCCATACCATTTCAGTGGCCAAGCTTAGACGCACATCCTAAGCACGCAGGTGATCCTTAGGCCATACCTGAATTCCAGGTGTGCTCTAAATATGAAATGGAGCCAACTCAGTGGTGCCACTTTGGCCACTTCCATTCTTGAGGCTTATGGCCAACTGACAAATATGAAGCAAGATGATGGCGATATCCCACAGTTACCTCTGTCATTTTCACAAAAGCTGAGCAATCGCTCACGACATTTCGATGGGTGATCAGTGCTCCTTTAGGGTTGCCTGCAGAGAACAGAGGAAGCAAAGCACAGTTAAAGACATCCCATCAGAGGATGGCAGAAACAGAAGGCTAGGAGGGCATGCGTGATCGGGACCTCACACCCTTCCACTGCTCAGCATACCCACGGAGGCAACATTGAATTTGAGCAACCTGCAGTCCTTCCACCGAAACTCACCGCCATAAAACAATCTTAACGAAACTCTGCTAACATGGGCACATTTCAGAGGGTATGTGGAGCAGTGAGAGCCACTAACACAGCTGAGCCTAGGAAGAGGGTTGAAACTAAAGTCACCCTTAACAAATGGAGAGGAGATACACGATTGTGAACTGTTATGAATTCTCAGACTCTGCGAGCACCTGGCAGAGCATAAGGTTACAGTTCTTGAACCACTTCCTTCTCTTCCAGTCCATCTACAGTTAATCCAAGCGATTCAAGGGGAAAAAGGGGCAGTTTGGGGCAGTGTGGTGGTTCAACAGGTTAATCCTCTGCCTGGGGAGCTTAGATCCCATAGGGACGTGGTTCTGTCTGGGCTGCTCTACTTCTGATCTAGCTCTCTGCTTATGACCTGGGAAGGCAGTGGAGGATGGCCCAAGTCCTTGGGGCCCTGCATCCATGTGGGTGACCTGGAAGGAGCTTTTGGTTCCAGGCTCTGGTTCAGCTGAGCTCTGGCCATTGAGGTCATTTAGGGAGTGAATCAGCAGGTTGAAGATCTTTCTTTCTGTCTGTGTCTTCTTATTTCTGTAAATATATCTTTCAAATAAGAAAGGGAGGAAGGAAGGAAGGAGCAAGCGGGGGCAGACAAGTATGCAGTTTCAGAAAATACCAAGAAGCAATTTTATCTCAAAACTGACCTGTAGTTCCACTTGTGAAACAAATTACTGCCAGATCTTCAGGTGCTGGAGGCTACAGAAAATAAAGAAACAAACAAAAGCAGGTATAAATCAACAGAACAGAAAACCACAAGGGCTAAGCTCTCTCCCAAGACTCCCAGCAGTCCCCGATCTGCAGGCAGAGGGAAACCCGCCTGGGGTGTCCTGGCAGCAAGGAGCACCACATGCTTACCTTGGGCTTCTTTCTGTTGGCTCTTCCCAGGTTCTTGAAGGAAAGAGAAAAAGAGAACCTTAGGTGGGAACACAGTCTAACTGCAGAGTCGGATCACACAACTGCAGGTTAGTCCCTGCTGGCTCAAGGACAGCCTAACTTCCAGGCTCTCTGAACTAGGGTAATTTTCATGAACCAGAGCAACAATAGCCAGGCACTGTTCTAAGGAAGTCGCTTTCTAGCAGCCTCCTCTCCTCCATAAAACCATGTCAAAGTGCATTTTAGAATTGGTCTTTGAAATAGGATTTATTCAAAGACAGAGATTCAGGTCTGCGGCCACTCACTTCTCATCCCATGGTCACTTGGACAAAGTCCTGCGAGAGTGGTAACAGAGCCCTGCAACTCCCTCAAGCCAGGAGTGGAGGAAGAATTTGGGAGCCTCCATGAACAAAACAGCCACAAGAGATGATCTAAGACTGCTTCTGGAACAGGTGCACAGGTTGAAGAGGACACACTTATTTGGGAGGTGCAGCGTTTCCCAGGAGCAGGCTTCCAGTTACAGCCAGTTCCTAGGGCTCAGTTTACTGTGATAAAGCAGTGAGGGGGCCCACTTTAACATCTATTAATTTCTTACATGAACTATATTTCTTTCCTAGTAAAACCAAGCAGCCTGAGTGAGCATATGGAGCAAGCAGGTCTAACGCTCAATGGAAACGAGATGGGTGTGGTCAGAGCTCACTGAGCTGCTGCCCACTTTTTAACCTTAATCACATTTTAAATCACATGTCTAACAGACTGCTAATTAAAAACAGGAACACTGATATCTACGTGGAAGTCAATCAAGAGCTAAAGCTGTGATAAGTCTGCACTTTTTTTTTCAAAATTAGTTTATTAACTGCAAGTAGTTTATCTGTTTAAAATTCTTATATAACTTCTAAAGATGTCCATTTTTTCAAATATTAACATCAAATAAGGACTGAAGGAAATTTAGCTTTTGATTTATTTGGAACAAACCTTATCCAAATTAGTGCACTATTTGCCTTAAATCTATCTTGTCATCATTTAGAAAAAACATGGAAACATGGTGAGAATTGAGTTAACCTTCCTTCGAAATATCCACTGACTTCTTGCATAGTCAGTTCATCTATGTATAGTTATTATTTCAAAAAGTTGTCATTTTCAGGTTAAAAAAGACAATGTCTTAGACAAATATTGAATTCTAGTTAATGATAAGAACACTAAAGTATTTAGAGGTAAAGAATACTTATTAAAAATGCACAAAAAATAAGAGATTGATACATCAGAGGGATAGGATGATAGACTAAGTGTAATAAAGCAAATACATTAAAATATTAATTGTAAGCTTTTAGTAGTGGGTACGTGACTGTTTGTTGCATAGTTTTTTCAGATGGTTCCTATTTTGAGATGCAAATGTTCCAAAGACTACTCACACTATTCTTGATGCTTTCAAATCACACATCAATATAAACAACCAAAAGATTAATTATAAGGCTAATTTTACATTATTTCTTTAAGTTGTCATCTTTTTCTTGCCAAATTTTAAATAGCTAGGCCTGAATCATATTAAGCAAGGATAAAATAAAGCCTTTCACAAATTAAGATGTTATATATCAGTTTATATATTACAGCCTGGCACAACGGCTCAGTGGCTAAATTCTCGCCTTGTATGCACCAGGATCCCATATGGGCACTGGTTTGTATCTGGGGAGCTCTACTTCCCATCCAGCTCCCTGCTTGTGGCCTGGCAAAGCAGCAGAGGATGGCCCAAAGCCTTGGGAACTGGCACCTGTGTGGGAGTCCTGGAAGAAGCTCTTGGCTCCTGGCTTCAGATCGGCTCAGCTCCAGCCACTGTGGCCACTTGGGATAGAAGATCTTTCTGTATTTCCTTCTCTCTATAAATCCACCTTTACAATAAAAATAAATAAATCCTAAAAAAAAAAAAAAACTCCTAAAAAGTTTATGAAAACTCCTAAAAAGTTTATGTAAAATGCAAACTTTATACTACAATCTTTAATCAAATCTGAATGCTGTCTTAGAAGATTTATTTTACAGAGGTAGACTCACAGAGAGGAGAGACAGAGAGCTTTCATCTGCTGGCTCACTCCCTAAATACCCATAGCAGCCAGAGCTGTGCCGCCCGAAGCCAGAAGCCAGGAGCTTCTTCCTGGTCACTTGTAGTTCTAAGAACCCAAGGACCGGATCCATTCTCTGCTTCTTTTCCCAGGCTGTAAGCAGAAAACTGGATCAGAAGTAGAGCAGCTGGACATGAAGTGGTACCCATATGAGATGCCAATACTAATAGGTAGAGGAATAACTTGAAATACCACCATGCTGGGCAATAATTTGATTTTTTTTTCTTTTTTATTATTTTTTATTGGAAAGGTGGATATACAGAGAGGAGAGACAGAGAGGAAGATCTTCCGTCCAATGATTCACTCCCCAAGTGAGTGCAACAGCCGATACTATGCCGATCCCAAGCCAGGAGCCTCTTCCGGGTCTCCCACGCGGGTGCAGGTTCCCAAAGCTTTGGGCCGTCCTCCACTGCTTTCCTGGGCCACGGGCAGGGAGCTGGAAGGGAAGTGGGGCTGCCGGGATAGAACCAGCGCCTATATGGGATCCCGGGCGTGCAAGGCGAGGACCTTAACCACTGCACCACCGCGCCGAGCCCAATAATTTGATTTTAAAGTTAACTTTCTGGGGTGGGTGCTACAGCATAGCAGGTAAAGGCGCCCTCTGTGACACTCATATCCCTTTTGGGCACCAGTTCATGTCTGAGCTGCTCAACCTCTGATCCAGCTTCCTGTTCATGTGCCTGGGAAGGCAGAAGATGGCTCAATTCCCTAGACCCCTGCACTCAAATAGGAGACTTGGAAGAAGCTCCTAGAGGTTGCCTTCAAACCAGCCCATATATAGCTGGTATAGCCATTTAGAGAGGGAACCACCAGACAGAATCTCTCTCGCTCTCTCTGTAACTCTACCTTTCAAAATAAATAAAAATCAATCTTTACATAAAATAAAATCACATCTTTATCATACAGAAGCCAAAAGGCAAAGAAAAATTTCTTTGTATGAGTGTTTCCCTGAGGGGGGATCAAAGAGAAGGTGAGGATGTAAGAGGACATTATTTTCAAAGGGGATTGCAAGAAAAACAAGTGCAAAAATGCCATACTAGCAAAAGTCCCAATTTAATCATGAAGCACAACCAGTAATGCTTATAGTATCAACGTGTGTGCACACACAGATGTGTGTGACACAGGCTCAGTCATAACAGCTGTGACTACCAGGCTTCATGAAAGTGTCCACAGATTCTTCCAGGACCCTGGAATTCTTTCTAGAAGGGTTTATACATAAAATACTAAAATCCTATTTGCAGCACTTGAAGAAAACTATTACAGCACCTTCAAAAAGAGAACTACTACTCCATTTAGTTTCTTAGTTCCTATGATGTGTTTATAAAAAAAGCTCCTCTAGGGGCTGTCACAGTGGTGTAGCAAGCTAATCCTCCACCCGCTAGTGCCAGCATCCCATATAGGAAGAGCTGCTCTCTCAGGGATTAAACCTGCTAGCCGACCCTGTGGTCACCTAGAGTGAGGCCATACGAACCACCAAAGACAAGCTGGTGAAAAACGTCTGCTTTATGATGCACAAGTTACAAGTTTTAAAAGCTAAGGAAAGGGAGGGCAGGAAGGCATCTTCCGGCAGTCCCCCCATCCACCAAAGATGCTGTAATTCACTCTAAGGCACATCTATTTCCCTTGACCTTCCAGTCATGTCAGAGATCACATTCAACGTGTATTCCCCTTGACCTTCTAGCCATGTCGGAGGTCACGCTCCACATGTAGGGCTGGAAGCTGTGCTTCAGGTCACAGGCAGGTAAGCTCTAAGCCACGCCCACCAGACAGCAGGTAGAGACTCAGGAATGACTGCCCACACTGCTCCACTTTCAATTAAGCTCCCTGCTCACAGTCTGGGAAAACAGCACAGGACAGCTCGGGGCCTAAGGTCCCTGCACCCAGGAGACCCAGAAGAAGCTCCTGGCCTCGGACACACCCAGAGCTGCAGCCATTTGGGAATGAACCAGTGCATGGAAGATCTGTCTCTCTGTCCTCTCTCTCCATTACTCTGACTTTCAAACAAAATAAAGAATTCTTTTAAAAAGAAAATGAAAAAGAAAAGCTCCCCCTCAGACTGGCTTCATTGTGCTGAATTCTAACTCAAGTCCCACTGTGCGGAGCAGTTTCACATATGACCTGACTCCAAACCACCAACTCCAATATGGACCACATTCACCTTCTACCATGGCAATAGTTATCATTCACAAAAATCAACCAAATCAAATATGTACATCGAGGACCCACCACCGGGACTTCAAGAAAGCAGCCAGTTTTAGAGACAGATGAGTAAGTAAAGGGCACAAAGACCTAACGAGGCTATAAATCCTAAAAGGCCACTTGCCTGAAGTGGACCCTAGCATCCCTGGGCATCGCTGCCATGGCTGGTCTCAGCTCTGAGCCATACGGGTGACTGCCGCCATGCCCCTTAGGAGAGAGAGCTTCTGCACGTGGGCTGTCAGGTCAAAGCTGGCTTTCCGGCAGGCAGACAAGAATCCCTGCTCTTCACCTTTCACAGGTTGGGAACCGAGTGATGGCACTGGCCGTTTAAGCTGAGCCCGAAGCAGGTGGCTGGTGACCGACTCACCTCCATGGCCTTCATGCTGGTGATCTCCACCCCGCACTTCTTGCCTCGCTCCACCAGGTCAGTGTCGTAGGAGTCCATGACAATCACGACTTTGAGGCACGGTGTTAACTTATTTTCAACTCCCTCTAGTAACAGCTCGGCCTTTTGTGGCTTGTCAACAAAAATCACAGACAGTTCAGCTGTGTGTGAGGAGAGACAAGGAAAATGAAGTTAAAAGTTTGACTCTGTAACATCGGACACTCAGACACTTTATGTACCCCATTTTTAGTGGAAAGGGAGTTTGCGCAGGTAAACGTGAAATCTCCATCAAGGGACACCAACTGCACCCCCAGGTTCTGCACCTATGAATGCAGCTGGTTGGGGGCTGAAGCAATGTGGAAGAAAACTTCCTGTGAACACATACAGACCTTTTTTTTCTCCCCCACCATCACACCCTACACATTACAGCATAACAACTACTTAGACAGCATTTACACTGTATGAGGTAGTGTCAGTACCACAAACACAATTGAACATGACTGGCCAGATGTGCAGAGGTTTCGTGTGGCTACCATGCTATCACATAAAGGACCTGAGCACCCAGAGAGCTGGGTGCTTGTGGAGATCCTGGAAGCAGCCCAACAGAAACACTGCTGATCGCGTGAGTGACTGTGAAGTCACTGAATCTACCCAACAGCTGGGCAGGTAACCCCCTGAGCACCGCTGTACCTTTGTTGACAATGTACGTGATGGCTTCGCTGCCGAGGGTGTCATACAGTGGAACGATGACCATTGAGTATGTGAAGCATCCCTGTTCGATAATCACCCACTGTGTGCGCAGCCAAGATCAGGGAAGAAAACAAGACATCAGCACACTCAGAGACACAGGACAAGAACATCCTCACCCAGAGAGTGACCACCTGTGCTCCCCATGCTTGGCACCAGGTACCCCAGGATCCACAGTGGAAACAAAACACATGGCTTCTTCCTGAAGAGAAAGCCAACCTTGCAAACACACGAAAGAGATCCCTGAGGAATCACAATAGTGGTTGGTCCTGAGGCGGAGGGCCTATGGTGGGCCCTTGTGCTCACAGGGGCAGGTGGGATGGTGGAGGGTGGGCAGAAGCAAGGAGGAGGATCCCCCAAAAGAAAGGCCTGCAGGACAAAAAGACAGCAGATTGGGAGGTGGCAGGAGGTTAGCGAGGCTCACAGGGACAGACAGGGATGCTGGAAGGAGCCTGTGATTACATGGCAGCTGGCCTCAAGTCTGTGGACAAGGCAAAACCACTGGGAACTTAGAGGCACGACAGAAGCTATAGATTTGAGAAAGATCAATCCTTTGGCAGGTACAGATAGCCAAAAGATGGTCAAAGGATGGGGGAAGGAGCTCAGATTTGTTTAACAGGAGACTGCATTGACAGACAGGTCACCCTGCCTTCAACCCTGTCAGCCACACGGCAGAGGACCATGGGCGAGGTCGCTTGCCTCACTCCTGGTCCCCGGGAGCTTCCTGTGACCTCCCCTGCACTCGAAGGAATTGGGCTGCAGAACCAGGACACAGCACAGCTAAAGGCTCCGTGGCCACAGGAAGGCAGCAGCACACTCACCTGGCCTGACCCGGGACTGGGCTCCTGTGCTATTATTTTTGGCTTGGAATGTATTTCAAGTTATCAAGATGAGGAACAGGTCCAAGTTCCTTGGTAGGTACTCTCTCTCTTGTCCTTTACCCAGCCACACCACAAATGCCTAATTTCCCTGGCACTGACATGCAACTTGGTGCAGGCATGCAGCTGTTCCTGGCATTCCCTTGTCCCCACTCTTTATTTCCTTCTAGACTCAACTGAGGTACCACCTCCAGTAACTGACTGAGTTCCATAATTCTTCTGTCCCAGAGCTACTCTGCATTTACAGAGTGGGCATCAGCTTTTGCCAGTGTCCTGTCTTACACAGAACTTTATGAAGATAGCCTGTGACTGTGCACTTTGGAGCCCCACAGTGGTAGACATATAATAGGCACTTACTAAACAGTTGTTGAACTAACTCCACATATGGGAAAGAGTCTAATCTGAATTAAGCAGTATGTTTAGTGGCTATAGATTCATGATAAAATTCGACTACACTATTTAGGTTGTGTTTCAGTGGAGAAGAGTCAGAAAGAGAAAGAACTGAAAGAGAGAGAACCAGAGAACCAGAGAACCAGAGGGAGGGAGGGAGGGAGGGAGGGAGGGAGGAAGGAAAGAAGGAAGGAAGGAAGGAAGGAAGGAGGGAGGGAGGGAGGGAGGGAGGGAGGGAGGGAGGGAAGGAAGGAAGGAAGGAAGAGCGGGCCCACCATGGTAGCCTAGTGGCTAAAGTCCTCGCCTTGCATGCACCAGGATCTCACATGGGTGCCAGTTTGTATAGTGGATGCTCCACTTCCCTTCCAGCTCCCTGCTTGTGGCTTGGGAAAGCAGTTGAGGATGGCCCAAGGCTTTGGGACCCTGCACCTGCTGTGTGGGAAACCCAGACCCAGAGGATCTCCTGGCTGCTTGGCTTCAGATCGGCTCAGCTCCAGCCACTGCAGCCACTTGGGGAATAAATCAGCGGATGGAAGATCTTTATATCTTCTCTGTGTAAATCTGACTTTCCAATTAAAAAAAGGAAGGAAAGGAAGCAAAGAAGGAAGGAAGGAAGGAAGGATGAATAGGTTCAGCTGTGGAAAATAACATTTTCCTCTTAACAAAACTATAAAAAGCCGTGATAATGCATCAGATAGTACAAAACAGAGGGACTGAGCTAACAAAGCCTTGGGGACATAGGCAGGTGTGAGAACACACTTAATTTCTTTGGGGTAGGTGGTTGGATGTTGCAAGGAGCTACGCCACCAACCTGTTACAGAACAATAAATGTGGTGCCTCCAAAAGAGTTTTTAAACTCACAGCCATGCTGCACTTTACAGAGGCACTGAGCCTGAGCCTGCATGGCCAGACCCCACAGTGTGTGTTTAAAGGCAGCTGCAGGTCAGAGCTCTGCCCCTCAGTCTCATAATATTTTTTTAAATGCTGTTCTTCTCTTTTACAGGTTAAGTAGGCTCTGGCTTAGGTTTGTTTTTATGTAACTTTCTAAGAAGGAGAAGACTAGAGTCATATTCTCTGTGCAAATGAGATCAGGAACCTTTGTCTCCAACACAAACAGGTATGGCCTCTGACGAGCTGCCATTCCCCCCCCCCCCACCACACCCACCACTCAGGAAACCAGACAGGGCAAGTGGCCAAGGGCGAGTACCTCGGGTCTGTTTTGAGCGAAGATGCCGATGAACTGATCGGGGGCGGCCCTGAAGCCCTTCTGGATCAACGCTGATCCGATGCACTCGGACAGGTCGGCCACCTGGGATGGGAAGGAAGCAGGCACAGCGTCAGGCCCCAGCCCCACAAGACAGCTGACCTGCAGCAGAGCAGCAACAGCCCCAATGCTGGCAGCCCGGATGCTCCTTCCTTCGCAGATGCCTGTCCGAGGCACGGGTTTGTTCTCGGGAGCCCAGGATGAAGAGAAGACACACAAGGGTTCCTCTGCCGGGCAAATGTGTCTCAAGCCACCAGCTGCAGTCCCAGATGACCAGGCTAGGCCTGCTGAACAACCCTAAAGCTAACACAGGGACACTGAGTGTTTCAACTTTTTGAAAAGGCATGCATAAAAAATAGTAACGTAGCCCAAACCTACTATCGAACAGAATCACAGCAGCAGCAAGTCTCTAGACAGACCTATAAAACAAACAACTCTCCCAAGGCCCAACAATTCCACGACTGAGGCTTTTTTCCCAGCAAAAATTTCAATTTTAGAAGTAGGTTTTAAAAAGCCTATGCTCCAAGACACATATCTCAAAAATCATCTAAATAAAAAAAACAACTCAGGAAGGGGATAGTAGCTGGACTGTTAATAATGGCACATCTCTAAGAAAATGCAATACAGCTGCTAAACATTACAGTTAAGAAAATCATATTGAACTGGGACAGAATTATTGATTACACCAAAAACTGCTACATGTATATTACTGTAACAACTAAGTTAAAAATAGGTAGATTCACAAAAATGAGGCCTTGAGTGTACACTCATGTTCGCCTTCTTGCTAGTTCTATCCCAAATTAAGTTAAAATAATAATAATAATAATAATACTGTGTCAAAATTTGGAGCTCTTTTTCTCTCTGGGTTGCTGGATCCTCAGGAGAGCTTTCAAAGCACACCGTGCCTGTAGGAGACAAAGCCACGCCTCTCCCTGGCCCGGAACGCTGTTGGTTCTGGCATGTGGTGCCATGCCAGCCCTGCCTATAGGATCACACCAGCACTGCTGAGGTGACAAGTGAGTTTAGTGCCTGCTACTCCAAAGACCAAGTCATATCTCTCAGCTGCCTTTAAAGGATGCCTGCAATTATAGGCATACATTAGTAGGGTAATATGCAAACATTTATATTTCTGGAAAGGCATTTTATGTCTTTCATCTCAGGAGTTGACACTGTGCTCTAGTGGGCTGGAGTCCTGGTCACACGGCTTCTGATCCGGCTCCTGGCTAACACGCCTAAGAGTTGGATGAAGCCCCAAGTGCTTGTGCCCCTGTCATCCACGTGGAAGAACCAGGTGGGGTCCTGGGCTTCCAGTTGTGGTTTGGCGCAACCTTGGCCACTGCAGCCAAAGCAGATGATGGGAGAAGAATCTTCCTCTTTGCCCCTCCCTTTCTTTCTTTATCACAATCCCTTTCAAACAAACAAATCTGCAAGAGCAGTCACTTGCTAGAATTTTATCTTAAAAACTATCATCTATTACACCAGTTTTAAGCCACCAATTCAATTACTTAACTGGATGTCCCCAAACCTTTGTGGCAAGTTTCTCCATCTGGACATCCCACATGTTGACCCTGAGCTAGTCCAGCGCACAGGCTTTCAAGGGATCCACCAGCACAGAAGCACAGCAGTGTGTACATGTCACCCGCACGGCTGGGAAACTCACCTGTTTGTAGGAAAGCCATTCGTAGGGTTGGTCTGGTTTCCGGGAGCCCAAGCAAGGGCCATCATCTACAAATGGAGAAAACAATGACAAAGCAAACGTTGGGCTTTCTAAGGACCAACAAGCCCTGAGTTTATCCCACCACATTTTACATAGTATCAGAGAGACGCCATGGTAGTCCTCAAATCAGAAATGATGAATCAGATTACAAGCATTTTCTCCCTGAGTTTTGGTCTAATTGTGTGCCTGCTTATTTACTTCTTAAACCAAGACAGGAGAGGGAGGAAAGAGAGGAGGAAGGGCAACACAACATTCTATCAGCCCAGGTCGGGTGTCAACAGCAAGGAGCAGAGAGATGCTGCTGCCGTGGGTTTTCAGAAGAGATGGCCCTTAACATTTCTAAAGAAGCATAAAGCGTAAGAAAGTGAGCCACTCCACAGACATGCCTTTCAGCAGTGAATTGGATCTGCACCAGATGTGACGAAATATTTTTTCAACTTGCTAGCCTGAATAAATTGAAAAATCACATTCAATTCAGGTCTGCATATTTTTAGTCACTGAACTGTATTCTTATTAGCTAAATAATGAATAGTAAGTTTATGTTCTCTTAAACATTTTCTCTTTGAAGAGGTATTATTCCTTTATAAAATTTTTAAAAGAACCATCCTCTGTTAAACTAAGTATAATGCATGAAAGATTGAGAATATTTTTAAATTACACTTTTATCTAGTGTGAAGGAATCATGTAAATATTGAAGAACTTGGTAACATTAGTAAGTTGATGTTCCCAAATGTTTTCATTAATTTATTTTCCACCAAAATATCTCTTTTTAATAATATGTGTTTGGTGTACTCTGTATTATCTAAGTCATGTTACTCCTGTAAAATGAGTATAAATATGAAAAACAAATCTAAAGATTAAGCATGGTCAAAAATAAAATGGTCAATTACATTTCAGTTTGTATACTCCACCAAACATTCCATAACTTGATTGTATGCATTTTTATTTTGCTACAGACAAATGTAATAACCTGCTTTTTCATTTACTTTTGAGCTATGAGGGATAAATTATGCATCATTTTAACATTAAAGAATGAATCTAGTACAATATAGGTTCAGCCACTTAAGGGTTTTATATTTTTTTGCAAAGGTTCATATTCTAAATTACACATAAATTATAAAAATTTCAAGTAGGGCCCAGTGCAGTAGCCTAGAGGCTCAATTCCTTGTCTTGCACAAGCTGGGATCCCATATGGGTGCCAGTTCTAATCCCAGCTCCTCCACTTTCTTTCCAGCTCCCTACTTGTGATCTGGGAAATCAGCAGAGGATGGCCCAAAGCCTCAGAACCCTGAGCGTGTGTTAGAGACCCGGAAAAATTTCCAGGCTTCAGATCAGCTCAGTTCTGGCCGTTGAGGCCACTTGAGGAATGAACCAGTGGATGTAATCTTTTTTTGTATCTCCTCCTCTCTGTATATCTGACTTTCCAATAAAAACAAACAAATCTTTTTAAAAACACATTCTCCATATTCAAAGTAAAAGGAAATATTTCTGGCTGCTTCCTGATTGTTTTTAGACATTTATCTGTTTTCTCTGAAGTATGAACTTTTAGTATGTGAAAACAATTTCTCCTTTCATATATATGTGTGTGTAACTGAAAAAACTCTGGAAAATGCTATTTCATTGGCAATAAATGAATATTTTCATATTTCAAAAAAAAAGTATAAAACCTGCGAACTCAGGACAAGCACCTGGTCTTGTGGTTAGGGCGCCCCTGTCCCTTAGCCTGGTGGTTAGGGCACCTGTATCCCTTGGCCTGGCGGTTAGGGTACCTGTATCCCTTGACCTGATAGTTAGGGTACCTGTATCCCTTGGCCTGATGGTTAGGGTACCTGTATCCCTTGGCCTGATGGTTAGGGTACCCGTATCCCTTGGCCTGGCGGTTAGGGTACCCCTATCCCTTGGCCTGATAGTTAGGGTACCTGTATCCCTTGGCCTGGTGGTTAGGGCACCTGTATCCCTTGGCCTGGTGGTTAGGGCACCCCGTCCCTTGGCCTGGTGGTTAGGGAGCCCCTGTCCCTTGGCCTGGTGTTTAGGGTGCTCATGTCCCTTATAGAGTGCCTGAGTTACTAGTTCCAGCTCCATTTCCATGTCCAGCTTCCTGCTCAAGTGCGCCCTGGGAGGCAGTGGTGGTAACTCAAGGACTAGAGCCCCTGCCACCCACATGAGCGATCCTGACTTGGTCACTTGCTCTTGGCTTCGGCTTGATCCAGCCGCAGGTGTTATAAGTATCTGGGGAGTAAACTAGCAAAAGCAAGTTCTCATCCTGTTTCTTAAATAAATCACTTTTAGGTCCATATTCTAACTCAATATGAAAAAGAGAGATAAAAAGTGTCTATGTCCAAGTACACATGATCAGTAATCATCTGAGATCTGAATTTCAGGGGCAAAATTTGGCTAAATAAAGATACAAAAGGAGGCAAAACAAGGGAGTATTTGTGAAAACAAAAGTTGTGAAACATCAGGATGTTCCCCAATTCTGTTTAGGTAACAGATGAGCAGGAGATGGCAACACACAAGGCTTTACCACCAGAGGTCTCGGCTCATGAACTCAGCTGGTTTGGTTTGGGGACATAAGAGAACTAGGAAGATAAAACAGTGGTCCACCCGGCAGTGCCCAGCGAGGGACTGGACTGAGACTGAGTTCCCGGCTCCCAGACTTGGACTGGCCCTGCCCTAGCTGCCATTATAGGCATTCAGGAACTAGACCAGCAGATGAGAGACTGTAAATCTGTGTGAGAAAGAGAGAAAGACAGAGTGTGTGTGTGTGTGTGTGTGTGTGTGTGAGAGAGAGAGAGAGAGAAGGAGAAAAAGGGAGAGGGAGAAAGAGGGAGAGGGGGAGAGAGAGAGAGAGAGAGAGAGAGAGAGAGAGAGAGAGAGAGAGAGAGAGAGAACGCGCCTGTCTCTCTGGCTTTCAAATAAAATAAACAAATAAATTAAAAAAAAAAACCTGTCTGGATGAAAACAGAAATAATCTTATTTTCAGACCCTCTCCAATTTCGAGATGGTAATAAAGAGAGGGCCACACACAAGATCCCTCAGGTGCTGTTTTTACATAGGAAATAAAATGTAACAGCCAAGTGAGATGATGCTTTTTCACTCCTTCAAAACAGATCAGCAGACTACAGCCGAGGGTTAAATCAGGCCACCACCTGTTTTTGCAGATACGGGGAACTCAGGCGCCCTCATTCACTTACGAATTATCTACGGCTGCAGCTGAGTATCTGCGGCAGAGGCCAGATGGCCCGAGTACCTGCAATGTTGATTCTCTGACCCTCGACAGAAAAAGTGTGTGGACTCCAACTTCAGAAGAGAGAAAGTTAAACCCCAGCTTGCTGAGAAACTTTTAAAATACGGGCTGTCATAACTGGATGATGATGGGCCTGGGCTTCAATATCTTTTAATAACTTAATTTGTATAACTTTTATCCATGTGTTTTACACCCAGGTAATAACCAAGAGTAGCTACGGACAGGAGCTGCTGGCAGGCAGGGTACTCAGTCGTTACAGATGGCTTCCTACGTGCTGGTGAAAATGCTAGGCTGACCTTTCTCATCATCCAACAAACTTCTGACCACCGCATCCAAATGCTGGGTTTTGCTTTTAGAAAACATAACTTACACAAGTCTGAGAAAGTGAATGCTTGGAATAATAATAATATATAATAATTATATATATATATATTGTTTTTTTTAAGGCAACAGTGCCCTGCACTGGAGTGTGCTCTTCAGTACACAGTCAGACTCCTGACCTCCAGTCTCTCTCACCTTCTCTGAGTCAAGCCTAGATGGCCTTTAACAGGTACACAGTGACCAAAACAAGTCTCAGACCTGCCTCAAGCTCAGGGAAGGCACCGAGGAGAAGGTGGGTCACCATATTTCTAGAGGAATCCCACATTTTGCTAACCATGGGAACAATCACATTTAACACACGCACACATGTGTATCAGGCCTTCAGAAAACCCATGAGGAAAATGTGTATTATGAAAAACTCATACACGGAGTTGAAAACTTTTTGAACCAAATACTTAGAACATACTGAGACAGATCTCCACTTGCCATGTGCAGCACTCAGGGGTAGATGTCCTGGACAAGAAGACATCCTTCGGTCTCCTTATCCATAAGCTTCCTGAAGTGCACTCATCCAGCCACTGTGATGGAGGTACTGAACACACACTGTGGCAGGTGTCCAGCCTGGCAGGTGACACATTGGTTAAGATGCCTGCGCCCCCACCAGGGGAACTGGGTCTGACTCCCAACTCTGCTGTCACCTTCCTGCTAATGTAGACCCAAGCAGGCAATGGTGATAGTTCAAGTAATTGGGAACCTGCCACCAACAGGGAAGACCCAAGTTGAATTCTTAGCTCAGGTTCGAACCCAGGCCAGCTTCAGGTGTTTCAGGCATGTGATGGCAAATGGGAACTCTCTGTTTTTCCCTCTCTTTCTATTTCTCTGCCTCTTGACATAGAAGAGGAACCATACACACCCTCTCCCTATGGTCTTATGCTAGATTGTTCTACTTTATAACAATGTTGAAGTAAACACAGAGCCTGATTATCCAGTTTTACCAAAGTCAAACGAAAAACAGTGGTCACTTCCTGAGACACGTTACACACAGCATACTGTGGGGGTAGAGAAGGCAACATTCACAGTCCCTGAGCATGGAGCGGATTACAGTTTGGCAAGCAGCTGCAAATATAAAAGCCACCCACTGGAAGACTTAAGTAATGAAGCACGGATGCCCAAGATGATGAAGAGGCAAAAACCAGGGAATGTGAGGTGTGGTCCTTTCTCGGGAGCTACACTGGAGCAGCACCTGCAGTGTGCCTGGCCCTGTGCCGGGCTGGAAGTGGATATCTGAGGATGCCCTGTTCTCCAAGAGCACGACCAGGTGAGGCAGAATGCCAGGTAAACACCTCACTCGCACTGAGGTATGCAGAGATAATGGGAGGGGGAGGGGGAAGAAGGTAGGTAAGGGATGAAAATGACAGAATCTGAGCCTTAAAAGATTGCTATAAATACATCAAGAACCCTGGCTGGGGTGGAAAGATCGTGCCTGCAGGAGAGAAAGCAGAGACAGCAATGGCTTCACAAGAAGTTGAAGGCAACTGGAGGAGCGGGTACAGGGGAGGTCTGGAAAGCAGGCAGGTGCCACATGTCACAGTTAATAATTTAGGGTAATCCCATGAGTCAACATTCCCAGTGTTTCCAACAGAACACAGCTCACGGTCCAGCAAACCTCAAACCTGCTGGAATGGGACAACTTTAACAGGTCACTCCCCTGCAGGCAATATTAGCACCTCCAGGAGTGAAGGTGCACAGGGCTGCCAACAAAACACAGAGTGCAAGGGAATAAAATGGGATATGGATGCCCTTTGGGCCACAGGGAACCTTCCGAGGGTCCAGTGGGCTTCCGGCCTGAGTACAGGAAAGTCACTGGAGGAGCTGGGGGTTGGGCAATGCTGAGTTACAGAACAATGGTGCAACTGTGCTGTTCTGAAAGGAAACCTGCTATTTCTTCATTAAGTATTGGTCCCACAAGGTGAGAAAACACTTACTTGACACCTGTATGCCCCTCTGAAAGCCTTCATAGAGGGTTGTGACGTCATCATAAAAATTTACCAGGGGCTCGTCGCCGTCAAGCAGCGTGGATCTTCGAGCTCCACCACTACCCTGTTGGAAAAGAACAATAAAAGTGTTAAAAATCTCGTAGAAATAAGAATAAAAACAAAAACAAAAATATCAAAACCCGTGAGTTTCAGCAAAAACAGTATTAAAATAGTCTTATATACTGTGGAATGGATGAATGAAACTAATACACCCATCACCTCATATCATTTATTGGTGGTGAGAACATTTAAAATCTGCCAGCGATTTCCAGGACATATAATATATTGTTAATAACAGGCATCATAATGTACAACCCATCTTGTGCACTTATTTTTCCTGTTATACACCATGAATATACCCAATTTTTGTCAGTTAAAAATAATAAATACAACAAAGCTAAGAAGTCCAACCAGTTCCCGGGGTCAGCCCAGTACTCCACGGGAGCTTGCATCGGGCAGCCGCCCGGGGAGCAATCGCCAAAGGAGTGAATGGTGGGCCTTTGTTGCGTGTTCACATCACGCCTTCGTTCAGTGGGAAGGAAATGCAGGCAGAGAAGCTCAGGGTCCAACATGGCTGGAGAATTTCTGGGAACAGGAAACAACCATGGTGAAAGGAGGAGAGGCTCTGGGACCCACGTTCGTGGATATCGCCCAACGAGGCCAAACAGAACAGGAGGAGAACCAGGCATGGTGGCCACCACCACCCTGGGCTGGTTCTTCAGCTGCTGGGGGCATGGGGCTGGGCCTGCATGGAAATCACACGGCACTCGGTGTGTGTTTACAAACTTATGTTCATTCTTTGTGACACTTTCCCCTCCTGTCTTCTGCCCTCATCCACTGCATCATGTTGTTAGGGACTTCAGCTTTTTCTATAGTACCTAAGAGGTGGAGTCCTGGGCAACCAAACACCTAGAACATGCTGAGTCCGATATCCGCCTTGTCATGTGCAGCACTTAGAGTCAGGAGGCCTGGACGAGGCTGCACATCTTCCTTCACACAGTCTTCACCTGGTGGCTCCAGGATGACATTTGTGATCCCCAAGAACTCCTGACCGTGGCTGGGAGACAGCTCTGGCTACACACAGTAACAGCAGCCGTCTTCACTGGCAGCAGTTCTTCAACGTGAGCCACTGACCACTAAGGATCAGAGCAACACTGAAGATGCCCCACAGAACCCAGAGCAACCCTAAAAACACTCCTTAGCTCAGACACTGTGATGTGCCAGTGTTGTGGTCTTAGGCAGCTAGAACAGGTCACAAGCTTGAAAGCCACAACTCCCCCACATATATGGTCCTTTCCGTCCACCCGTAACACTCAGTCATCATCTGGAACCTCAGAGCGAGTGGTATTGCATTGTTGGGCAACCACACCCCTTGCAAGCCCCCATAAAGGCCCATGATAGGGAGGGGCTTGCTCTCTTTGTCACATGCTTCCATTGCTCTGGAACTCCGGGTCTCGGCCTCCCCAGTCCCTGCTAGCTCTGTGGCTTCCTGCAGACAGACTCCGAGGACAGGTAGCCCCTGAACATGGCCCCTGTATGCCTGTATGCCTGTATTTCTCACTCTCTCTTCACTGCTTGGGCAAGTCAGTGAAGATGCTTTGTACTTTTAACTTTTGTAGTTTCAAGAGTTTCTAGGAGAGGTGAGGTCCAGCAGTAATGCAATGTGGACAGAGAAGCCAGGAAAAGGTGGGAATGTTTGCAGCTTTGTAAGTGTGTCCAGGTTGTTCACTGCATGTCTCTTAGGATAATTTAAATTATTGGGGGAGCTGTAACATAGGTCCTCATGGGTGGGTTTTACAGTAATGACCAGTTGTTCCTCTCAGGGTTTTGATTCAGACTGGATTGTCACACGGACCTATCATTTGCTAATTTCAAGTGGGCATTGCCCAAGCTTGGTTAATAAAGACTCTTTAATATATCCCAGACTTGTCTGGCATAATCTCTGTCAACATCTTGCAACAATAGCTACAATATTTTAAATTCTAGTTTATTTATGTATTTGAAAGGTGGAGTACTGAAAAAGAAGGAATGACAAAGAAATACATTTTTCATCTATCGGTTTACTCCCCAAATGTTTGCAACAGCTAGAGCCGGGCCAGGCTGAAGCGAGGAGCCTGGTCCTCCCTCTCCCATGGGTGGCAGAGTCTATCTTCTGCTGCTCTCCCAGGCACATTAGTAGGGAGCTGGACTGAAAGTGGAGCAGCTGGGTCACAAAACAGCATTCATATGGGATGTCAACATTGAAGGCCAGGGCTTAACCTACAGAGCCACAGTACCAATCCCCATAACATGATATTTTATAAAGCAAGGAAATTCTTCTTCACATAGCTAATCATGGAGAAATCGCTTCACTTTAATATCATGTGTGTTATCACATACTCTGTGAGTCTGTTTCCTTTTGTATAAAACGGAGACACTGTATCTAAGATTATTTGTAATTAAATAATAAATTAACTTGAGAATATGAATCTGTGTAGGACATTACCCACCCGGTCAATAACACCACAACCTATATTTTTACACTAACAGCCAGCTCAAAATTCAGAAGCAATTTTGAAGTTAAACAGTAAACATCAGAAGCCTCCACCCATGAGGCTGCCAAGATCCTAGGCACAAAGGCTAAGGGGAGATGAGACGAAGAGGGCAACAGAACATAGAATAAGTGTGAAAAGTAAGATATGCATGGCAAAGAGAAACCACCTGCCCTCAACAACAGTCTCCCGGTCATGGGCCCAACCTACTCTGCCTACTGAAACACAGCCCAAGGCTACAGCACCATAACTTGGCCCACATGGAGGCCCGTGTGGCACCGAGTAGCATGGGGCCCCCCTTCACAATACTCATTTATCCATGGTTTTCATTCATGTGCATCCTGCTGTCTCACTCTCATGTCTACCCATGGGGAGGATGGGCCACAGGTAAATAAGACAGCTTGTCCTGAAGTGAGCAGAAGGATTCCAGGGAGCACTGGTGCAACAGAAGAGCTTAGAAAGACCTGGGATGTAGGAGCCACAGGATCACACTACAGCCAAGGTCCTTGAGGGTCGCCCAGCACTTGTTAGGAAAGTCTGTCACTGGAGTCTACACAGACCTACAGCATCTGAAACTCAGGGGGTTCAACCCAGAATCCTGTGTTTTCAGAAGTCTTTCTGGAAATGCTAATGCTTAAGAATCACCATGTTAGAGATAGTAAGGTGCCCTGCAAGGAAGTAAACAGTGAAATGCTTTAGAAAGAAAAACACAATATGTATAGGCAATGTGCGAAACACAGTGGAGGCAGAGACACTAGGTAAAAACCAATTTACATGGCCTAGACTAGGACAGAGGATAACAAACAGGATGTGGCAGGAAAACCGGTGTTAAGAGACTGGGAAGTCTGAGAACACAGCAGTTCCACTGGATCAAACAGGAGATGAGGGAGCAGACGAAGGTTTAAGAAGAGATGAAGCTGAGCTTTGGCTGTGGATGCCATCTTCCTTCCAGACGTGCCAAATACCTTGGTCAGCATCCCAAATCTTACATTGAGGATCACTGTCCTAAAAGGATGAGCTTAGAACAAAGAGTAAGCTATAAAATCTTCATTTCGGTTTGAGTTTTTGGTGCTATATGATCTCATCTTCAATACTTTGAGATATATATGTGGATATAAGACAATTAAATAAAAGTTAAATAAGTTAATTATATCCCCATTAAAGACATCCTAACAAGTAACCCAAGGGTAAGATATTTAGCAATTAGAATAATTAGCAAAAGCCTGCAAATGGAACAGTGAGTGGGATACATGCCAAAAAAGAGACATTCATTTCAAGGCACAGGTGAAACCGCGTAAGAGGTCACAGTATCACAGAATTGTAAAACATCTTCTGTACCTTCCGGAGAGGAGACTGAATTAAACAGAGGAGGGAACACTAACCAATAAGATTCTGTGGCTCTGTGACGTGTTCCCTAAAGAATCACACTTTCGATGTGCAAAAGCTTTACCATTTTTTGAACACAAATGTTAGACTTACACCCTGGTGTCAACAGCCTTGGTTCTACCTACCAAAATCAGGTAGTGTACACTGGAGTGCTGAGAAGGCTGACTATGGCTAGAGGGACCCCGAGAGTGCTAGATGCATCACAGGATAGTCACTTCAAGAGCAGGAGTTACCCACGCACGTGGGAAGATCACTAGGAACATTCACTTCCATGGAAACCACCTTACATCCAGCCTGTTAGACACAACCTGCTAATGGGCGGGGCTTTGGAGGCACTGAAGAGCTGGGGTGCCCTAGGTGACCAAGCAGGAAATCAGGCATTAGGAGTGTGAGTCAGGACACATCAAGGGCTTTTAATTTCTTCTGCTGTTGAGCTCTTTGGTGTGGTTATGGTTTTCACAATTAAAAAAAAAGTCGAGTCAAAGTCATGCTGTTCAATTCAGTGTATTAGAGGATGCCCTGCAACAGCCACACATACTAAGGCACTTCTTGAGGTTAGGCTTCCCAACATGGGTGGATTCAGGAAGTAGAAGTTCAAGTTGAATTAGGACGAATGAGGAAACTGAAGTTCAAATTCCCCTTAAGGGCAAGTTGGAGGAAAAAAGTAGGGGGAAGGGAGGGTAAGAAAACAGTGAACCTCTGTTCTCAGTGGCTCCAACGCTAGCATCCTTAACTCAATATCTGAAGTTCAGGGAGCCCAGATTTTAAGTTATTTTGTGCCATGCCTTTATTTAAATGCAAAGGTTACAAATTCCAGAGACCTTCGTAGGGGTGCACAGGCTCAAGCTTACAAACTGTGATCTCATTTATCTCAGTCTAGGTAATGGGTATCTACAGGTGGTACCAGATGCCTGCTGGGTTACTACTGCTTATTCCCTAGCAGGAGAGAGTTGGGAGTGAGGGACAAGAGGAGACAAGCAAAGGAAACAAGCTCCCAAGAAGGGAAGGAAGGGAGAAGAGGGCAGGGAGGAAAAGAAGACGAGGACCAAGTAACTTCTATGAGTTGCTGAAGACTTGGTTAGATTTAGCATTGACTATCTCCAAGCCAGACCAGGCAGGGTAGACTAGCAGCTAAAGTCCTTGCTTT